GTTCGGTGATAAATTCACTGAAGGAACCGAGGTCTGGTCTTGAGTCATACTTTTCTGTATAAATTCTATACCACTGCGCGCGTATAGAGTTTGGCAGTTTGTCTGTGAGGTGTCGTAGCAGCTCTGCGTTAACGAGGTAATGGTCTCGCTTGAGTGCTCGAAGTGTGACGACGCTTCCCCTCACTTTGCTCGCGAATGTACAAATATCTCTGGGTGCCTCTGTACAGCGTGGCAATCCCCGTAATTTATCGGTTTCTGCTTGCGCGATTGAATCTGGACGCCCAAATTGTAGCTCCAGTTCTCGCATAATCTCATCTGGTTTAGCATGCCCGATGAGTTCCGAACTAACTGTTTCCAAGGCTCTTCCTTGTAGACTTCTTCGTAGTCTAGCAGTATTTTCTATGTCATTGAAGTAGCCTCGGGTTGTTTCATAAATGGCACGGAACGAAAGCCATTCAGTATGTGCTCCGCTAAAGCTCGGCAGTGTCATTATCGCTTTTGATGCTGCGAAAGTATTTGACGATGCACTCTCTGGTTTTGGTTTATCAGCGAGTGCGGCTATAGCGGACGTGAGCTCCGATATGAATGGTCGGAGCACCCTGTCTTCATTGCTGACAGGTGCCTGGTTAGGTCTTTTTATTATGGGATTCTTGGTTGCTTCTTCTGGTTGGGGATCCTGGTAGGCGGGCTCTGATACAGCAGGTAGGAGCCCCCTGTCTTCATCAACCTTGGAGTCCTGGCAAGCCTTCTGAGGTACGGGACTCTTCGGTATATTTTCAGCATTGGGATCCTGGTAGGTGAGCTCTGATACAGCAGGTAGGAGCTCCCTTTCTTCATCAACCTTCGAATCCTTGTTTGTGAGCTTCATCGGCGGCTCACTGAGGTCGACAACCTCCGGGGGTGGCTTTGTGATGTTTTTATTAAGTGGGGCCTCCCCACCGGTGGTTGCGCCTTGCGTTGGCTTTTGTTTGGCTACAGAATTTTCGAGCCAAGATCGGACATACTCACTTTTGGAGTGACCATCCTCATCATAGTCGTCCGATTCATCATCTTCTTCAGCCATTTGTAATGAGATCTGTGCGAGTTCCAATTTTATTCTCAGCACTTCCTCACGAGCCTTCAAAACCTTTTTACTGGGCCGAGTGGTCTTCTTTGACCTTGTACTTTTATCGGTGTGGCCCCTTGGTGGCTCTTCGGCGCGGGAATATACCCGGGCTGTTGGCGGTGATGCACAGCGAATGTCATCGTTGCCTTCTATTTGTTTCCTCTGCTTCGGTGTACCAGCTTTAACAACGGCTGGCACTGGCAGGTGTACCCCCCCATCGCAGGGGCAAGCTATCTGTTCTCTCTGCTTCGGTGTACCGGCTTTAACAACGGCTGGCACAGGCAGGAGTACCCCCCCATCGCGGGGGCAAGCTGGCGCCTCAGCGCCTTCTGTTGTGGATGGTGAGCGTGGTGGCATCTGGTGGCGGACGGTGTCGGTATTGTCCGACGGTCCATCATCCAGACCGACAGTCCACGCCATGGTTCCCCTTCCTTGCGAACGAGTGATCGGCATCTTGATTCTGAAATTTCAGCAACTTTAAAACGGTAGTGATTATTTACCCGGTTCCGAAATACTAACGGATTGACGAATCCCGTTCGAATGACCAGCGTATGTGGTCCGGTGTATACGGATGATTCGGCTCAAAGGACCATAAAATGGTCCGGCTGGCAGTTCAATCGGAAGGATCCGGCTCGAAGGACCATAAAATGGTCCAGCCGGCAGTACAGGTGGAAGGATCCGGCTCGAAGGACCATAAAATGTGCCAGACGGGCGAAAATCTCCGGAGTAAATGTTGTCGGAGATACCCCGCGAGTCGCTCACGTCCTACACCTGTAGGTTCCAGACTCCTCCAACTGCCGTCTTTCACTGCCGTCTTTCACTGCCGTCTCTTTGGTTGCTGCGGATAAACTGTGGACTGAGGTTCAAAATTAAAATGCACGATTTGTAATTAAAATAGCAAGGGAGTGGCCAGCGGATCGACTAATTAATTTGTCGCGAGATTTTACACTGTTATTTATTTATCACTATTTTTCAACTATGATTGTTCACTATATATTTTAAAACACAGATTTAATTAAACACACAGCAATATTAAAATTTCTATTGGTTTTCTAAAATTTCTATTCGTATTTTTAAAATATCTGTTGGTAATATCAAATTTCTATTGGCAGTAACAAGTTTCTATTGGTATTCTCTACAATTTCTATTGGTAATTTTAAATATCTATTGAAAGTAACAAATTTCTATTGGTAGTATCCAAAATTTCTATTGGTAGCAGCTGGTTTTCTAACACTACTGACTAGCAGCTATTAATCAACTAAAATTAGTTGAATTTAAACACTTTTGTAACTGCGAATATCAGTTACCACTTTTTCCGTCTAGCTAACACTTTTCACGAAATGTAACGGCGAAATTTCCGTTACCACTTTTTTCAGCTAGCCAACACTTTTTCACTATATGTAACTGCGAATATCAGTTACCACTATTTTTGGCTAGCTGACACTATTTTTCTATTTGCAACTGAGAATTTTCAGTTGCCACTTTTTCCGACTATGTGTAACTGCGATTTTTCAGTTACGACCTTTTTCGGCTAGCTAAACTTTTCTATTTCACTTTAACTTTTCACTGTGTTCTGCTACTAGTCACTTCAGCTACTACCGGATACTGCTGCTTGTTACTGGTAGTTCTTCCTACTACAATGTTACTGTGATTTGCCCCCATAAGGTAGACTTCGGCTATACTCTATAGAGAGCCGCTTGCCAATTCCCATTTGCCTCTTTATTTTCAATCATTTTTCTTTATGCAAATGGCACAAATTGCAACTTTTCTATATAATACAAATCTTAACTCTAACATGCTATACATCATTAAATAGACATTTTTGTTCTACATTAGTATGCGATAAAGGATAATTAATATATTTACATTTAACAAAGTTATTCATTGAAATGTCCTAAACTTTTACACTAATTGGTCATATTAATTCTTTAATTATCCTATAACTTTTAAATCGTGCTTAATTATACAAAATATTTCTTTATTATAACGATCTATACATCATATGCTAACTAAATACCATATTTACAACTCTTTTCAGACATAAAATTATTCTCATTAATTTTTTGCTTAAAACTATTACGCAGTTAATTTAAATTTCCAGAAAGTTCTATAGCGCGGCGCGCTGTGATTGGTCGATATTTTCTTAAACAAAATAAAGTTGTTTATATTAACTATTGTCAAATCGACCTTCTATACAAACATATTGAGAGTTGTAAATACATGGTAAAACTATATTTAATACATTATTTAGTCAATTTTTCCGTATTTTCATTTTTTAAACAAATAAATATTCCTTAATCACTTTCTCGTTTAAAGTCATTTTGCCGTTGTGAACAGTCATTTTGGCCGTCTCGAACAAGTAGGTTAGAGGATCGGTCCAATTTCGACAGACTCCTAACTAGGAAAGAAGTTCTGCCACCGTGCAAATACTAATAATATTCACTCGGTGGTTATATCTATTTATTATATAAAATGTCCTCAGTGACTGACTCATCTATCAACGTACAGCCCAAACGGCTAGACGTAGATATCTGACATTTGGCGATAGCTGCCGTTTATGGCGTACAAATCCACTAAGAAAGGATTTTGGAAAATTCAACCTCTTGGAGGGTGAAATAGGGTACAACAGTCTCTATGAAACATATTATTTTATTGGACGATTAATTCAAAACTTACTAAAAGGCTGAATGAAAAGCCCATTAAATAGTTAGACATACATAAATTATACAATTAATCTAATAAAAGTAAAAACAAAATTAGAAAATCCAAAAGTGCACACCTCGAACGGAATGGTTCACAATAGTAAAAATCAAAAGGCTTCCTAAGGGTTAAAATTTTAAGCTAATAAAAATAAATCAAAGTGATAAGTTAAGTTTTTCGAAAGATATCTCTTGAACTGACGTCCAAGTAAATTATTTTCAATTATCTTTCTTTTTTCAATAATAATCGAAATAAATAATCTTATAACTACTACGTCAGAATTATTAATTAAAGACTCCTCTTGCTATTGGGTAGTTCTTTTTTATATTTGTTTAATATAAATTTCTTAACTTGTAATTTTAAGTTTTAATTTGAGTGGATTTGGAGATGTACTGCTCTATTATAAATATAGCACTACATCTGCGCTTCGCGTTCGATGTGTGCAAAAGATGATGACAATATAGGACAGTACGTTAAAAATATATGAAAGGATAGGAAATATGGTGGAAAATATAAGAATTCCAAGTAATAACATTTGAGTATATTTTTGAAGGAAAAAGAGATTTAGCACGTGGATTAGGTTTGTCGATTGATCACACGAGGCGGATGAACGTATTGGAGTACGAAGTGAAAGATTATTAGAGCGATTTTAACTATTCGAAAAGCCTTGGTCTAACTTAAATTCTTATCATTATCATTCCGAGCACGAATGGGTCGGCTCGAACGGGGAAGGATCACGCTCTCACAGAAAACCAGCGTAAAATAGCAGCTTAACGCTGCTGTGTTTAGTATGGTGAGTGTAGAGAACTGGAGACCCTTTTTACTGGCAAAGAGGCATTCCATCTTAGTCCTCACGGGTGACAATGCATCTGCATGTTAAGTCTTTATTGAGGATAGATGTAGATGTCTATGGCTCACAGTAACCACTTACCATCAGGTGGACTGTGTGCTCGTTTGTCACCCGATCCTATAAAAAAAAAGTGATATCTTATCTTCTAAGCATTACGCGATCTAAAAAAGCGTGGGTCATGACTGTCTGCACATTATAACTTGACCGCGGGGCGAAAAGCTGGTTAAACATATATAATAATTCCATGCTGATTATTGAATTATTTTTGTTTAAATCTGTGTCTACTTAATTTATAACTATGTACCTCAGTAGCATAAAATATAATTCGCTTTATTTCTTCCATAGGAGAAGCCCCACAAATGCAGCTTGTGCTCAAAGTCATTTCCAACTCCCGGAGACCTGAAGTCCCACATGTATGTGCACAGCGGATCCTGGCCATACAAATGTCACATTTGCTCCAGGGGATTCTCCAAACACACCAATCTGAAGAACCACCTGTTTTTACATACGGGTAAGAAATAATTCTGTTTTTTTTCGATATTAGAAACCTACCATAGCGGGGAGCTTTTTGACAAAAACTTTTAGACCGTTCACTGAGTTAGTGTAGTTAGATATGAGTGTAAGGAAACGAAGCCCCACAACATATAATTAAATTTTTGCTTCGTCAAGATTATTTTTTTAACTTATTTGATTATTCCGCTAAAAGTCATATCGTTGCTGCAAGCGGCTTATACTTGTGCTAATCACAACCATCACCAATAAATGTTGTTGTGTTTTTCAATCTATAATTAATAAAAATGTATTTAGCGAATGCAGGCACCAAATGCCTGACTGTTGATTCGTAAAATTCTTAAAATCTTAAAATTCTTCGAATTTGTAAAATTATTTTTCTCTAATAATTAATGGTAGAATTAAACTTTTCTTTAACTTATCTTTCGCCACCACCGCTACTATTATTATAATAACTTAATTAACAGATATTAATAAAAATATTTTTGTTGCAGCTAAACATCAAAGGAATAGCGCCAAGGATGCTACCTGAAAAGTTTTCTTGAACTTAAAAAAGTGTTTATTATTACGGCGTAAATATTTGTATATAATTGTACATATTAAATAGAATCAGCAGTACACTGTTTTTTTTTTACCATAAGGAAAAATAGGGTGTAATAGGTAAACCGCGTAGAAGCCTTTGGCATAGATATTTATAGTTTGAAATATTTTGAAAGCATAATAAAGAGGTTAATATAAAGAAATAAATAACACGTGCAACCGACTACACTGGTGGCAAGTAATTGTGATTTTGTTACGCCTCTTAATCTGGAACCGACCGTTAGGTAAAAAGCTTACTTAAAATGAGAAGAATTTATAGATAGATCAATTTTATAAACTATCAATAGAAAAACAACAAATTGAAAAAATATCTATGACACAGGTGTGCTACTTCGTTCATCTATTACCCTATATTTCCTCATGATAAAAAAGTCAGCCAGTATAACCAATATTATTGAACAGCGCGACTATGTTATGTTGTGTAAATTTTATAATTTTTCACTTACATTTACATATGTGCAACCACGTATATCTTATCAACAATATACACATGTTAAAAATTATTAAAAGTGTGATATTAGGCATAAGTGTTAATTTATTTTTAAAGTATATAAATATTGTATAATAAAATAAGTAAGACGTAAACCTTTTCAATAAAATACGTGTAGTTCAGCTGGTACTGTATTAAATAATTACTTATTCTGAATGTACCTTTCACTCCAATAGTATGTACATATGGTAATAAGTAAAGTAGCAGGTAGCAGCATATAATATACACTTATTCCTGAATAGGACTTAGCCTGCCTTTCCACCAGAGATGTGCGAGGTAGCCAGGAGGTGCGAGGATGCGTAGCAACGTTGTGAAACGGTGCGCAGATGATATATCTATGGATGTTGTGAAAAAAAAGTCTCAAAGTTCAATTTTACAAAGAGATATTATTATAAACAGGAATGTTTTAAATCAATTTCAAATTGAATGTAGTTCGTTTTATTTAACCTCGAAACCCATCCCTCGCACACATCCCTCGCAACACATCCCTCGCAACACAACGCTCGCACACGTCCTTCCCTTGTTTTGTATGTACAAAAACCTCGCTCCGCTGAGCTATTTCCACTAGAGCTGCGCTGAGCGAGGCTAGGTAAATGAAGTGATTATATTGGTTCTTAAGAAACACATTACTCGCTACGCATCCTCGCACATCTCTGGTGAAAACGCAGCCTTACTGTAGAGAATAAAGCACCGCAACGGCCTATTTCTTACTGTTTCTTTTAAAGCAATAAGTGATGTTGGATTTCAAGCACGTAGTCTACCAGCACTTAATAGTGATCGATAAACAATTTTTATAATGTCGGCAGGGATCGAACTTGGCCTCGGCCTCAGCCGACCCTGTCCCTGATATTCCAGACAAATATAATATGGTATATATTATAATAAATGGTATAAGATTAAAAGTTATTTTTGAGTTGTTTAAATGGGTGTTTAATACAAGTATTATTGTTCTTATTATAGAAAAGTGATCATGATATAATGGAATTTAATATATTATTTTCAAATACTAATTATTTTGGTTATTTTCTCGGGAATTGAATACATAAACACTGAATTTATTACACTGGTTTAGGAGTAGGTGTTAAGAATGGAATGGCATTACTTAAATTCATAATATTTTTAATACATATGGAAACCATCATATTTAGTGCGTGTATTTTTAAACATATCACTTCTGGCAAACAAGTGCTACCGATATGATGTAAATAGAATTTTGTAACGTAGACATTTATTTCTAACCCGCCTTATTTTTAATACATATTTGTAAATATTTTTACTATTTTAAATATTATTAAACATAAAATCACATAGTAATTATGTGGAGTTAAACTATTAAATTTAGAATTGTAATATACTTACATTGTGTATGTATATTGTGATGAATGGTTCCGTCCAAATTAATTTTAAGACGAATTATTAATTTATGAAAAAGTATTTATATTTCTATAAATATAGGTTACTATTTAAATATATACTTAAATACTTTATGAATTATTTGTTTGATTTATCTCTTTTCTTCAAGAATTTCCTTTATTAGCCTATATTTTAATAAACGTCCTGAAGAAATGTATTCGTGGGCGGAGCCGTGGACCAGATGCAGTGCTATAATAATTATTATGGCACCGCATCTGGTGAAGCCGGTAGGTATGGAATGTAGATGGGCATAGTCGAGTAAGTAGCTTATCAAAGAATATTTATGAAGAGAGAAATAATTATCGTGAAATAAAAAGAAAATCTGTCGCAAAAAATATAGTCTTAAATAATAGTCATTTTCAACAATATAAGAAGCTTGTTAATTTACAGCCTTTATACATCTCAATGCTGGATATAGGCCTCATTTTATTTATGAGAGGGCTTTCAGAACTGGCGTTTTGGGGGTGTAAGCAGAAATAAGAAGCGTAAAAAAATCTTTTCGGCTTTGTCTAAGTAAACTTTAAATGAAACGACAGGTTTTAACTATCGGCCCTTTAGCAGGCATTAAGCCGCCCCAACCGGGGAGGACCGCGCCCTTACAGAATATCAGCGTATAAAGCTTAATGCTTCACCTTCAGTTCACTCTATCAAGTCCGGAGGTAAGGTCTCATCGTAACTAACAAAACGAGGCCAAACTCGGCACACCTAGTTCTACTCTTCGAGGAGTTCCAGTAACATTTATCGAAGTACAATTTTAGGGCACTCTATCAAGTCTGGAGGTAAGATCTCATCATAACTAACAAAATGAAGCCAATCTCGGCACACCTAGTTCTATTCGTCGAGGAGTTCCAGTAGCAGATACCGAAGTACACTTTTAGGTTACTCCATGAAGTCCAAGACGTATTTATAAGTATATTTATATATGCATCCTACGTACTTTTATTAAAACGAAATATTGTAATAAAAATATGTGATTATAAAAATAAATAAACTTCGTCAAGTGTGTATCAAATTTAATTTTTGGAATATTTTGTATTTCTACGGCGATCGATATTTTTGCTGCCTATTATCGCTGCTGTAAACAAACGATACAATAATCTACTGACGGCGGTGGCCGAGCCTGAAGTTCGAGTGAGCTGTGAGGCAAAGTGTATTTAGTAAAATAAATTATTACAAGGCTGCTCAAAACACCAAAAATTTCGGCATTTCTCAGCCGAAAAACATTAATTATATCTAAATAAAACATAATGAAAATGTCATTTACATTCCATGGCTTCCCACATTTTAGATAAAGAGATTAAAAAATAGATTAATTAATCAATTGATTTTTTCCAAAGTTATCGTGTTTACCCCTCCATGCGAACTTGTTAAATCTACACCATAAGCTACTAAAACCACTTTTTTTATGTAAAAATAGCAACTAATCAATTTTAAAAAAATTAATAAGCTCAACGATTTATCTTTCTGACAAAGTGCTTTTTATATTATTTATATGTTCAATATGATTGTTAGATACGATTTCATGCAACAAAACGTTGGAATCTTGATTTTTAGGCGCTAGTAGAATATACCTAGTACGCGCTTGCGCTTAAGGCATGCAATACTTCTTTTATTTCTAAACGTAGTCTCAAAAGTTCTCGAAAGACTTCTGGAGACATTCTAAAGACTATATAAATCTAGCAACACTGACAACCCAATCACAATTTACCACTCCGAGTATTTATAGAGAGCATTTTAAATATAGAAGCTACGTTCAAATACCGAGTAGGCGTTCCAACACGCGAGGCTCGTTCTGATTTGCATAAAACAACTTCAGTTGGCGGTATTAAGTCTTAATTGTTGCTGCCGTGGAACATACGGGGACCTGTGGGACGGGACACGCTGCCAAGGGTACGATAAATGCAGCAGTAAGATTTTATTTGCGCAGGAAGCAAAGGAAGGGCACTCGAGGGTTATTAATGCGTTTGCGCGGTTTATTTCTAGTTTAAGGTCGTATTATTCCGTCTTTATTTAGTTGAGACATTCTGCGCCTGCTAAAAACTCGAAATGTGTTTGAATTTCGGTTGAGATTTTGGAACCGATCAGGCTACAAAGTCAAAAGTAGAATGCTAGGATACGTTTTCGGTATTTTCTATAATCCAATTTTAGTACTTGCACTATTCAGTTTAAAGTAACTGATTCCGAAAAGGAGTATCCACTACCTTATACCGTGGTTGTCGTAAGAGGCGACAGAGAAACTGAGAGAGAAACTTCAAAAACTTTATCAGACAAAGTTTGAATAAAAAGTGTTTTTATAACATTAAGAGGTTTTTGGATGACAATAACCTCTGGGAATTAGGTGATCACTACCAAGCTGTTTCTAATTTGTTATGTGTTGTTAATTATGTAACATATATGATTGTAAGCTGTTATTAATCCCGCTGGATTTCTTGCTTGTTTTTTCCAGGACAGAGGTTTTTCTGAACCAGTGGTAAATCAAACAAAAGAGGGCAGCCGCGTTTTCCTGATATCAACTCAAGAATAATAAATAACTGCGGTTGTCAATCCGCCTTAAGCTTGACAACTATGGCAAATATTGGTAAATATTCTCCCTATGAGAAAATCAATGGGGGAGGCTTACGTTCAGCAGTGGAATTTTGATAGGCTATAATAATCTTGATACTGCTATAACAATGTTCAGTAAAATACGAACAATAACGCATAAACTGCAATAAAATCATACACAAAAGATAAAAACATATATACGCGGTAGAGCCATGCTACCTATATTAGTAGTATAGTTGTAGCGCGAATGGGTCGGCTCGACTGGGGAAGGACCACGCTCTCACAGAATACCAGCGTAAAATAGCAGCTTACGTATGGTGAGTGTAGAGAACCGGAAACCCTTTTTACTGGAAAAGAGGTATTCCATCCTAGTCCTCGCGGGTGACAACGCATCTGCAGTTTGATTCTTTATTGAGGATAGATGTAGATATCTATGGGTCACAGCAACTACTTACCATCAGGCGGACTGTGTGCTCGTTTGTCAC